AACTATCTGCCGGTTTAGAATTTATATATAAAACGTGTAAATAAATTATAAGCCCCATTTTTCATTGAAATACACAAATTAGTGTTACATAATATGAACATGACATAATAATTATGGACAATACTTGTGTTACTTTTAAAAAGATCTGTTGTTCTATTTATGTAAATTACTTGTTATTTGTTTTTCTTTTATTATTCAAATTTTTATATTACGTAGTGAACTCTACGGTCTCTGCGTCAATATAATCAAAATAATTTTAGTATCGTATTACATACATGTAACCGTTGTTAAACCGTCTAATGTAAATAACAATGGAATTAGTGAAATAAAAAGAATAATAATACAATATTATTGTCGTAGTTTTATGTAAAAATACTGACAATATTATACTATCCATAGCTAATATAAAAAAATGTTGATTAAAACATTCGGTTTTATTAACATAATATTGTCATACCCAATAATTGTGGACTGTGGTATCTAGTCAAGTAGTTGAATCAATAAACATCGACCAAGATTCGTAGCGTCGTGTTATTATATTATAGTTACGTGTAATAGAATTAACCGATAAGCATTATTAATGTCGCGATATTTCCTCTCCGTTAACTCAAAATTAAATCAGAAGTTAAATAATTACTCTGAAACTTTCGTAGGTACGAACTAATGGTGTATAACGCTTATATGTATATATAGTATGTACATATTATATATATATATATATATATTTAAATAGTTGTATAAATTATGTCGCGTGCGTATATACTCGTGTACTGTGGTACATATGTGCAGTGTTCGTTCGAGTTAATAGGCACTTTCGTTATCGACGAATCGTGTACAACTTATATAGGTACCTGTATAAAGTACGATTAAACAAAAAAAATAAATAATAATAAAAAAATAAATTTAGCCAAGTGCAGCCAAATTGGCGTACTTCTATAATCGCGTCAGGAGTTACTCGCGTTTTAATTACACTTGACGTCTCGAGCGCTAGTGCCACGCGCTGGTTTGTTGGGAAAAAAAATTGTGGGAAAAAGTGTGAATATAATACAAATTAGCTCGATTTCTTTAAACTCGACGACGATTTTTGTGAAAATTGTATACACAGAAGCCTCGGGAGCGCGCGCGCGCGTGTCCCGGTCTTGGTCGCTACACTAATTTATGCATTATTCCGGAGTCAGTAAAAGAAGGGACGCCGGTGTCGGCGGCGTGTTGTTGGTGTGACGGTCTGACGGTGGACCGTGGACGGCGGTGAAGTAGGGGAGGGCCCGCGGCGTGGCGTCGTCGTCGTCGTCGGCGAAGCTCGGCGGCGGCAGGAAAGAATATTGATGTGTACAACAGTATCGGTCACCATGGCAACGCCGGCGGTACGGGCGGACGGCCGAGATGGATGCGGCGGTGCTGTACATAGGTTGGGTGGGTGGGCGAGCGAGTGCGATGGGGTGGATGGGTAGTGAGTGCGACGGCGGTTGTGGGCGGGAGGGTAGCGAGTTTGATGGGTGCAGCAGGGTGGTGGTGACGACGGTGGTGGACGGGTCAACCGCCGCCGCTGTTGTTGGTGTCGGCGGCGGCGGTGGGAAACTATAGCACCGGCGGTGCGGCAAACTTGTCCGATATAGTGTTATACTTGTTAATTCGTTTAGCAGTCGCATCGTCACGAACTCGGAGCACGGCGGTCGCGCGAAACTCGCACGCTCCCACTCCGTTGCAGCCGCAGCCCTCGTATCTATTTATTTATTATTTTTTTTGCCTCCCGATCGCGATACGATTCCAAAGAGTTGCGACCGTTTCAGTAACACGAGTGTTTCTACTTAAAATAATAATAATAATAATAATAATAATGGTATCGTGTATCCACCAGGTATCACTAATATATAGGTACCTATTATCACGTACGTTCGCATTAAATGCAAATATGTGCAAACGTCGAGTCACGTAGATTTTGTGTTTAGGAAAAAAAAGAATATATTTCCCTTTAACAAAAAATATCTTTTACGAAAACTCGAAAGTCTAAAGCCAAAAAATCTAAACCTAAACTAGTAAGTTCATAGTAGGGTTATGAGGCCTATTACGAGACGGACTTTGTCACTAACACACGCGCGCTCATATTTAGTGTTCATCATACTGATGAAAAGTTATTGTCTCAACAGTCTTAACTGTTAATTGGTTGTGTATGATAATCAACCTTTTTTTTTTCTTAAATGTAATATAAACAATAATAATAATTGGGCTTGAAGCTTGTATTAACTGCAGTGATGAACTCTATGCTATTTTAACTTTTCATAATAAGTAAAACATACATTCACCAGTATGGAATGTATATAAATTTTCAACGTTTACCTACCTATATAAAGTTAATTGTACACATGTATTTATCTTAAACTTATATAATGAGTAATATGACTGAATTTGACAGTTGATCTAATGGGCAGTGTAATATATAATATATTATATATATTATACATATACGTATATTTTGTATATTTTATACATATTGAGTGTACCTACTTAATCAGCTTACACTATTTAAAGATACATTTTGGTAGACCACGATAAATATAAATCATAGTTTTTTTTTTTTTAACTATACTAGGTACCTATTCATATATTCAATATATAAAAACATTTTGTTTATGATGGTAATTGAATAATATACCTATATTATTATAATAGTACCAATCTACTATTAATTAGATACCTATTTTCTATTGGCTATTAATGACAAGCGCGTACGCATCATACTCTTATATTAATTATGAGGGAGAGTGTGAGACATAACAACAATAACATTCATATTTATGCCATCTACGATTTTTTTTTTAAATTAATAAGGCTTCGACAACTGAGATCATTAGCTTATTGCTTAGAGAGGATTCGGTTGATTTGAATACGCGTATGTGTAAAAAGAATTTGTCACTAAGAACCCATCCAGAACCTACTGACACCGGTCGGTGTGTACACTCAGAACACGTTTCATGACTGAATGTAAACACCGCTCCACATCAAACCACTTCATTTACGTTTTTTTAGTTTCATAAACAGGTTTTTTTACTTACAATTTATTAAACTCAATCAGTACCTAGGTAGTGATCGAACTTAAAATTGAGACTAATAATTACTGATTTTATTATTTTTTTTAGAAGTACCTATTTTAATTTTTTGGTTGTATTTTAATGTTCCGTTATTTGAAATATATTAAAATGTCAATCCTCGGTTAATCAACTCTTTTCACTTCTGTTTTGAATTTATTAAAATAAATCTTAAATAATTATCTAATTCTATATTGTACTCGTGCACAATAATGATCATCTATATATTATTAATATTGCTTTCTTATCGACTCATAAAGTTACATTAATTATTATTTACTATTCGTTGATAAAATGTAATAATTGTCAAGCTACAATTTATAAAGGTATATTTATTTATAAAATATAATATATACGTACAATATCTACTATACAAATTCAGTTATTATTTAATAACTTACTTTGTTTAGGTTTTGGTCAACACATATATTTTTTTAACTTGGCAATATTTCACTTTCATACCTAACATACAATATGTATCATTTATTGGCGTATAAAATATAAAAAATGATATCAAATTAATATTTACACGTGTTATTAGAACGTGTACTATGTGTTGAAAAAAATATTTATCCCAAAGGGACATAGCTGACTTTAGTTTTGAAGGTCAATACAATATCAAGTACCAAAGGGAGATTGGGATTTAAAAGTCAAGCGAGGAATACTCTTTAATTTATACGGTTTTAATCTGTTATTTAATAGTTATTAAAATTATTTTAATAATTAATATCCATTAGTCAAAACAAATAATAATGTAAAAAGTACCTACAGAGTTAAATACGAATTGTATACATTATATTTTTCTAGAATTATTGTTTTGTTTTACTCTAGGTAATTAATAATAATAATAATAATAAATACTTTACTCAGTTTTCAACAGCTTAATATAAAGTATACATTGTAATATTATTTTTTATACTATACTTGTTTCGCTAAAATAGACTTTTGTTAATATCTTACTCGTCTCTTTTATATTTATTGCATGTAACGCGTGTATACTTTGTGTTATGTTCCTATATTATTATTTGGTAGTATATTATAGTATATTAGTATGGTATTAAAATGTTTATTCATTGTTCTATCAAACCATATGGCATTTGTTTATGCAGACTTATATCAAACAGTTTAAGTGTAAAATTGCATTGGTAAGCAAATATCTATGTTATTTCAGCCCCACAATAAATACATTCGATTATGAGAGGAAATAATTGGGTTAAAACATCAATTGAACGTCTAAATAAATATTTGTGTGGTATTTAATCAGTTTCTAATCTAATACGACCATTTTTTTGCGATTATTGTCATCCTGCCATTTTCTATATGTTGATTTTTAATTAAAAATATGCACACGTATAATATTATAATAAAAAAGTACTGTGGAGGATTGTTAGGTATACACTATACCATTGTATGTTTGAAATAAAAAGTAAAAACTACGAAAAGCATTTTTTCTTTCCTCCCTTTCCATCAGCGTTTGCATCGGTAAATAGTAAATGCAGGTAGGAATTTTTTCATTCAAGTTCCCCGTGCCCAATATATTGCACGGTAACCCTTGTATGCGTTGACATTTTACCGGCATTCTTCTGCAACAATATCATACACAGGTTGGAATTCCTATCGTTCCTGAGGGGGCTTTGCCTCTCTTGTATCTCGTTATTATACCCAGTGGTTTCAATTTATTTCGCTATTTTTATTATTATTTTTTAATTAAAAACCAGGCCATCATCAGGTGTATTATAATAATAGTAATAATAATAATAATAATAATGAAGAGTGGTTCAAGCTCGCCAATAATGAAGCGGAAACTATGTGCGCACGACCGACCGGCCATTCCTGGGCTATTGGAGGTTGTATTATTTTATTACCTAACTATCGGAACACCGTATATGTATATACCATTTTATTGGTTACGACATGCTGTTGTGGATGCTGATGGTCTCGCATGGTGTAATATTATATCCAAGCTGGTCAATAATTGACTCGGACCAAACGTGTTCCCCTCGCTCTTATGTATTTCTCTCTCTACAAACCCGTTTGATATTTTATCCGTCAGATTTCCATAACGATGCCAATAACAGTGGTTCCCGGATCAACGTGATGGGAATTGAAACTCACACGAATAAGGTTTGCGAACCTCAACTTATAGAGATGATATCATATATAGATTACGGTATTCAAAATTCTGATTAATTATCTTTGACTTGTACAGGTGTTTGGAAAACGTGTTTTCTTACCTCTTGATTTAGATTCCATCTATAAACGTGCATTATAAACACTTGGCACAGACAACTTAATACATTTTGATATACACAATTAATATTCCAATGGATAAACTATTTATATTTTAAATTATAAATTATGATATTGTAACTTTATGTTACATGGTATAATTACTATTATTTAAATATATGTATGTGGATAATATACTTGTCGTGTTTAGTTCGCTAATACATCAATAAGATGGTGGTAAAACTATACGCTGTACTTGATCCTTATAAAACAAAATAAAAAAATTGTGGTCATTTATTATTTTTAAATGCAATGGCTGAACAACAAATGTCAGTTGATTAATCAAAATAATAGTGTGGACTAAGTTTATAATAAACTTATTTCAATAATAGATTTTTTTATGTATTATTGCATAGTTAAAATAATGTAGTATGCATCAAAAATTGTTATACATATATGAATCTAATTATTAAAGTTTTAGTGAATTATTTGTATTATGACTTAATTGAAAATTAATTTATTGTAAAAAATACAGTTTTATTAATTACATTTTGAATATTGTAGTTTGATAAAAATAAATGCTAACACTTGTCAATCTAATTTTTTAATTTACAAATATACCTTTACCTATTTTTAATGTATAAGATATTTTATCAGATATTTTGAAACATTGTACTAAAATATTGTCGAGAGCAAAAAAAAATGTAAGACGAATTAAGGAGTGTTCTAAAAGATACTTACTAATACAACTGTAGTAGTGTCTTGTTTGTCATTGGGTTATTTTTCATCGTGGTGACTGACGTTTTTAAATTAAGCAATTATTACCCCAAAAGTCCTGAAAAAGGTCCACCTGTCAGACATCTACCGACCTTTGTATCTTTCCCTTTCTATGTTGTCTGTACAGCCCCAGCGAATCATTTTTCATTGCTGGGTCATCATCGTCGCCATCGTTCAATGATGGCCGGGACTTTTTTCACCTCTCCTTCCTTTACGGGGACAAAACCCTAGTCCCAACACAATTACAAATTCACCCCTCGCACTTCTTCACTCTAAAACGCCCAGCCTCAATTCTGAAGCACCAAAACACCGTGATAACTATGCAGGAAATAACTCGATTTGCATTTTTGGTTCTGGTACAGTCAGCTCAGTTTAATTTGCATGTCACGTTTAATCGACCGACATTCAAATGTAAAACAGACATCGTGAAGACATTTTTATTTTAATTGTCTACCTCTTTGAGACCTATGTTATTTAAACCAGTATCAATAATTAAGTTGTACTGGAATATTTACTATCCATTTTTTTTTTCAAAATATTATAGGTAAATCTCAATTATTGAACAAAAAAGATGTCAGTGAAAATTATATCTTTAATGATTCCTACTGGTTTCTTCACTACTTATCGATACACCTTATAAAATGTTGGTGTCATTAAATACCTAACTTGGTAGGTAGATAGTTCAATCTTTTTCACAATTTTAATGTGTAGGTAAATACATATATAGATTCTTGTAAGAATAGTTTTTTATTAGGTATTTAAATTTGTTTGATAATATAATATTTTATTATATATTATATTAGTATGTTTAATATTGTATATCACTTTTACTTCGATTTATATAATGTTAATTACTGTTAATTATTTTATGTTCTATTTTATATGTAAATTGTATTTACAAACAATGAAACTATACTAAACGAGTTTCCATTGAATAATTTGTGTACATAAACTAAAACAAAAGTAATATTTTATGCATAAAAAATTATTAGATTCAAAATAATTTCGTCTATTTTTAATTTGTAATTTGTATATATCATGAACAAAGATATTTAGATGTACTACACTATTACATGCATATGTTACAATAACCGGATTTTGGTAATTACGACTAATTAGTAATTACATTGATAAATGGGTTCATCAAAGGGTCCATGTATACTAGATTAATACCAAAAAAAACCACATTTATTATTGGTCTATATAGTATAAACTCTATATATTATATATACTATAAATGTTTCATAATAATAATATTATGATATTTCTGAAGTTGTTATGCCGATGCTATTCGTTTATTTACATACACGAACTGAAAATAATAAATATTATAATAATATGTCAAATTCATAACTGCAAAATAAGATGAGATTTTTAATTAAAATAAAAATAAATTTACCTATGCACTAATATTTATGAATCGTTGTTACCTATTCTTAAATTAAACAACTTATATATATTTTTTAAATAACTATAGAATATACTACTCTGATTTTAACTTTCATTAAAATTAGTAACCAGTTACCCATTACTGAATTGTTAATATTTTTAATCTATTATTGTTTTTTGTAAATTATATTTTTGAACCTATGCTGCAATAATTTTACTTGCCTATACGACAGTATATTACTTGTGTATATGCACACTTTGATTTCATATTCCCTATTTAAAATTCATTACAGAGTACAATAAAAATAATTAATTATATTTCATTCGATTTATCTGCGACTTACAAATAATATAATTATATTTTAGACTATATCAGTGGTTCCCAACCAGGGGGAATATCTACAGCGATTATGAAATAACGAGAATTTTGTTGTTAAAATAGCCATGTCATTTTACAATCAGTAAAATTGAAAACAATAAATTAATATTATCGGACGGTCGCCCATTGCTAACAATTATACTAGTATTTGATAATGATTGATCTTTTCACAAGTAATCTAATATTGATAGGTACAAAGATTAAATATACATTTTAAACTCTAATTTAAAGAGGGGGCGTGAGAATTTTGAAAATGTTCAATGGGAGTGTAGAATAAAAATGGGAACCACTGGACTATATTCACTCGATTTCATATACGTGCAATTACTACTGAATAAGCTCTAAAAATTGTGTTTGTATACCGTTGTATACTGACATACCTAATATGATATATCTCTAATTTTTTTAACCTTCTGATTCTTAATTTTTAATTTTAATTTAAGTTTTTTATGCTTATTTTCAAACCCGTTTATTCACGGCATTCTTATATACCTTTTTCGTATAAACCCAAATTAATTCAACCAGTTCTATACAACCATTCCTCGTATATCTAAAAAAAAAAAAAATGGATAAATTATATTGTTCTATAATGTATATGTGTGTACTTGATTAGTTTGCTTATTCCTTTTTATAATACATTGGCTTTCAGCCAAGATTTTTCTTCATCTGTCAAATAAATTGTATTTCCTTTACATAAAACATCGAGTACAAACGTTTGTATAGTGTCATTTATTGATTGATTAAAAATATTTTGGTTTAATTTCATACTTGGACAGTCACAAAATAGTAAATCAGTGTATTTATATATTATATATATAAATATAATTTTGATAGTAGTTCCGAGAAGTTAGTGATGAATAATTTAAAACTGATAGTGTAACTATAAAATATTGTGTCTGTATTATTTTGTGGTAACATAGGAAAAAGGTATTACATCAACATCGGCGACGAGGATGTTATTGATTCTCTCGATCGTGATTAAATAATTATAAGTAATTTTAGGTTTCTCAACATAAGCTTAGATAATTTTGTCCGTCCGTCCGTAGTTAGACTTGTACAAA